AACATAAAACTTAGTCTTAACCAAAAGGCCAGGGAGTGAGGGGGTAGCCGCCCACTAGAGCATACCTGTAGCTACCCTCTTAGACCATCGTACTATGAAGACACTTATAGATATCTAATATCTAATGAAGGTAGTCTATTCGGCGAAGTTCTATGCTAATATATGACATCACCAAAATCCTTAGGGAGCTGCGAGCCAATCAGAGCTCAGCTCAGGAATTAGCAAACGATACAGGGTTTGCATAATAAGTCTTCAGTGAATTTATTATGGGGGGTGGGGATGGGTGCTGGTTTGCTGCCGAATACCGATGTACTCAATGGAATGTGACAGATTTCACCGAGTTTTCCAGTTATCGTTATTGTTTTCCAAATCATCACAGGAAAAGGTGTACAGTTCTTATATCAGACAGACATTACTAGTATTCAGATAAACAGAAAGACAAAAATTTCTTGAAATCCTTAACGTAAGTGGTTTACAGATCAAGCAGATACTAGCTGTTGGCAAAGATTTCCGGCCGATTCAAAGAACAAATCGAAAAGACCTCTGAAACTCAAACATTACACTAATGATAACAAAAGTTTACCAATGGATTAATATTGATTATCAAATAATTATTAAACATGAATATACTAAATGTTGATAATTGAAGAGATGAATGATATTCCATATAAAACTGATAATGAAATGAAGCCAAATAAAAACTAAGCCAACTTTTTCGGTTTTATTACAAAAATGTAATCAGGCAAATGAGAGTAATTAACATGTATGTAAAAATAAGTTTGAATCAGATATAAACAATTTGAAAAAACATTCGAGAATTTATCATGAGTTTATAACTCAACAGATAAAGATGTCTTTGACTACAGATAAATTAAAGCTCTAAGGATTCCATTCCTTTTCCGAATCTTTCAGACGGATATGTTTACTGTAGGCAGAGAAACAGGGCCTCGCGTCAGATCCCGACGGGAGAAGTGATCAACCATCACAATAGGTTCCTTGGCCCCTGGGAATCACCGTCTGGTGTGTATTTATAGGCAACGTATGGTTGATCGGCGCATGATGCTTGCAGCTTCTTGCAGCGTACACAGCTATTCATGATTTCAGACAAACTCTACCAGCTCGATCCGTGTTGCAGTGAAGACTTCAAAGGAAAACAATTAAATTTAGAATTGCCATTTTGTAACGCAGCAAACTCGAAGTTTAATAAATCTCTTATAATAGCCTGAGTCACATGCAGTCCAATCTACAGGGTTTTTTTAATTTTATACAAGCAAGATCAAACGGCGAAGGCGGCGTCGAACTGAGGATCGCAGGCTCGATTCTCGACTCGATTACTTAATTTTAATTTTTTTTCTACTGAAATATCTTTGTTCTAGTTATGTAAATGTTTTCCTGTAGATAATTTTTTCATTATTTTCGTTCCATTTTTTTACACACAAGATCATACTCGAAGAGCAGCGTCGAACTGAGGATCGCGCGTTCGATTCTCGACTCGAGTACTAAAATTCTTTTTTCTTCCTTTATTTTCAACTTTTATCTTGTTCTTTTTTTTCTCTCTAAAATGCGAAGTGACCTTCCAAGTGCCAATTTTTAATTCTAAAAGTACAATGCGAATGCAATCCAAATGCTAAATTTTCGCTGAAATGATAATAAAATATTCAGGATAAACTGATGTGAAAAGATATAGGCAGAATCAAAAAAATCAATCGTGCTGCGAAAATTATTCCACTGTAACATTCGTAACCTGGACACAATGTGTTCCACGGAGTGGTTCCTAATAGTTTTTGGGGGGCCTGGCTCACCCACATAACGGCATCGGTTTTGTGCATAAAACATAAGTGTATATTTCAAATTCACCAATAGATTTCTCTTTGTCTTTATTTGTGACATCATCACTATAAGTCTATGATTGTGCCCCCCAAGTCAATTTTGACCCCGCCGCCCCTGAAGTGTGCGTGAATAATTTTGCATGCTTCATTATAATGATAGTCTCCTCGCAGCCGTTCTTAGTGACGGGCTCCCTGTCCCTTGTGGGGCGGGGAACAGGGAGCCCGACACTAAGAACGGCTGAGGAGACTATTATAATGAGGGCACGACATACACCGTGAGCTGGCTCAGTGACCTAGTCACATGACACAAAATATATGAGGTATAATTTAGCGCATGAGCACGCAAGTTCTTCTGAACCCAACCTCGTACCCAGAGCCCGCGTAACTTTTGGTCTGCGAACAAGAACTTGGGAGCCACTGTTTTTCGTCGAGCTTGCGCAGTAAGAGGGAGATGGGCGCTGCATGGGTACGAG